CGCCTGCGCGTCTCTGGAGGGGCTTCGGAAGAGCCCCTAGAAACCCTCCGTCGCACAGGGAAACAAAAGCTGTGCAGTCTGCGTGCAGTGCAGCCTGTTGGCCTCTTGGTCTTGAAGTCGCACACAAGCATGCAGTGAGCGTATGCTGGTGGCAAGCCCAAACGTTGGTCGAGGAGCAGAACTTTTATCAAAATAAAGCCTTGCGTTGATTAAAACCGGCCAATGTGAGATTATTTTGGAAAGTTATGAATAATGCTTCATGTGTTTGGACTCGCTTTCCTCTTTGTGCTGGGTGGGAGCGGTGTTACCCACGTTCGCACTGTGGAATACTTTGAGGAGAAAACAGCTGGTGCTTGTCTGTTATGCAAATAATTAAACTCTCACTGTAGCCATCGTTTCACATTTAAAACTTGGCTGATGGCATAAATAAGAAAGTCAAGTATATATAGTAGAATACTATATACAGCGCATATAGTATCAAGTATATCTAGTACAACCACCAGGATTTTTTGTGTAGTCTGGGTGTGCACTTGACAGCGTGTAATTTTTATTTCTTTATTTTAGACAAGGCAGGACCTCTTCTAGCAACATGTTTGACATGTTGACTCATTTTTGCTTTTTCACAATTTCTTGGTAAAAGTGAAATGTCGATGCAACATAGTTCTGGATATTCCTAGTCCTGGGAAATGGCAGTATCACTGTCAATGTAGGAACCATAGGCCTTAAGGTTATTTCACTGAAGGTTCCGGTCTTTTTATAGAAGTATTTTTATTTTTAAGGTTTGGAATTAAAATGCAAGTAAGCATGTATGTGTTCTAGGCCTTGGTTTTTTTGGAAAGTTTTCCTGTGTTGGAAAGTCATGCATCTTAAAAGGTGGTAGAGAGTTTTCTGCAAACTTGACCGTCCATATCTGTGTAAAGCTTGTTGTAGGACTTGAGCCTTTATGGAATGTCAAGCCAAATTGTTTTTTGTTCATCCTGTGACTTGTTATAGCCTAGGTTACACAATTAGTTAAACATTAGCACTTTAAATATCACATTATTCTTCTGGTACAAAGCTAAATGTACACAAAAATGTTAATATCTTTACAGAAAACTGTTGCTATGATTGGATTCTAGCTCTTTAAGATCAGCTTTTTAAGTTAAAAGAAGAACTTTCTCCTTCGCCCAAATAGATCAGACTTGTGTCTGACTGTAAATTTCTGATTCTTAAGTAAATTCTGTTGGTTTTTTTTTTTTTCTTCAGGCTGAAGACCATATAGCATCAGAACCACGGATTAAAAAACTGGAACCAGTACTTCTGCCAGGTAGGCATAAATCAGGAATTTGACAGATACCCCAACAAGGATATATTTAAGCCTTTCATTTATTATAATAGAATTGGTAAAATGTAAATAGTTTTCCTTATTTTACTGTGATTATCGATTTTGGTATATTTTAATCTTAGCACGTTCCTTGAGGGAATATAACTTCTAATATATTTTTCTACTTCTAAGTAGAAAAATCTAATGATATTTGTGTCTGTAGAAAATTGTTCCAACCTGCCTGAAACACTAAATAAATACATAGACAATTTTGCTTGTGTAATGCTTTAGTATGTGTAGAATAATGTCTTGGTTTTATTGCGAGTTTTTGAAATGAAACCATTGTAAGTTTTGTAACGTTTATGACACCCTTTGGAAGACTACTAATAATTATATTTTTGTCAGATAGTCAGACCTTTACCTGTGTGCAGAACCCACTACCATAGCATGTGTTGTAGTCTTCCTTTATTTTATATATTCATAGAATTTCCAGTAGGTAGGTATGATTGACTTCTGTCTATTGGAAAACTTCTAATGCCATCTTTATTCATTTACTCTTACTGAATATGCAACTGTTACATAATTTTGGAATTTGTAAGTGTCTTTAAACCTATGCAGAATAACCTTTTTAGTGTGTGGATGACAAAAGCAATGTTTTTATTATTGTTCATAATTACTTATTTATAAAAATGTAGGATATTAATTACTTCTACATTTTAAATAAGAAATCATCTTTGGTAAATGACATTTTGATCAACGAGGATTTCTAAAAGCCTTTTTCAGATACCAAAGGAATGATGTACTGTTCTCAAGATTACTTTCATTGCAAACTGTACATCGCAGTAATAAATTTGGCTTGCTGTTTCTAAGGGTAATTTTGAGTTTAAAACAATGGTATACTGCATTTTTTTTCTTAGCATTCAGATGATATGTTAACAAATATGAATTTACACACATATACTAATGTAGGAAGCTATTGCTATCATGTTGTCTAAGTTGATAAAACACGTTAACTTTCAAAGTGATCAATCGAATAAACAAGTTACTCTTAAAAAATTATTTCTGTCACTGCTTTATATGGGACTGTTGTTAATTAAGCAGTATATTTTTTTCTTAGCATTCAGATGATATGTTAACAAATATGAATTTACACACATATACTAATGTAGGAAGCTATTGCTATCATGTTGTCTAAGTTGATAAAACACGTTAACTTTCAAAGTGATCAATCGAATAAACAAGTTACTCTTAAAAAATTATTTCTGTCACTGCTTTATATGGGACTGTTGTTAATTAAGCAGTACTAATTGATATGTGACACTGTCCAGTGAGGTACCTTAAGCTTAAGAGGCTGAAATAGTGTGGAAGAGGTTCAACTGAAAGAGGAAGTAACAACTAACTGGCTGACACTCTGCATGAAACATAATAATACAGATTTTGCTTGAGGTATAAATACCTTAAAATACATTGCTAAGATTGCTCGGTATTTGAAATAGTTATATTTTTATGCTTGCAAAACGTCTGCTTACCACTTGGCATCTGACTGGTTATGTTGCAGTTGATATTCATCCAAGGTCTTTGACTCACAAGGAAGTGACTGCATGTTCTTCTCTGAGACATTCCACAGAAACTGCGGGGCAGTATGAGATTGCTTTTCTCAAAATGTAACACATCTTGCCTTTCCTGTGGGACACGTGCATGAGCAGTTATAGAAAACAACTTCTGTGCAGTAACGTTTTGCAGTGTGGTTCATTCTTTATTTGTGAAACTCCGAAGTACACTTAAAATGGTGCTGACTGGGTTTGTTTTTCTCAACTGGCTTATATTTATCCCGTGTTTGCATCATTTCCCTTGTCTGCGCTATCTTTGAAATCAACATTTCATGGGGTTTGGGACATTTGTAGTAAGTTGCCCCAGGTTATATAGAAACTGATTGAAAGAGTATGACTCACCACAGAATTAAAATTTCCACTTCCACATCATTCTAAGGTGTTATTTTGAATTTTTTCATAATAAAATTCACTGCTCTGTACAGCCACAGAGTAGCTCCGACAGAATCTTTTCATTTTTGTGAGCATCAGTCTGTATGAGGGTGGGGGGGGAGTTCAGAAGTTACTTTTTTTAAATTACTTAAATGAAACTCTTCCTGTTTAAAGTTAAGCACTGGCCTAAACACATTTTTTTTTTTTTTTTTGTCATCAAATGGTGCAGTAGAAAAGTGTATAAACAAGTACACGTTGTACTGTTGGATAGACTGGCTTTTGGATTTGCAATAACCCAAGTTTCTGGCCAAATTCCAACTCATTTATGTATATTAAGGCTGAGCTGTACTCCCTTGCACGTACAGTTTGAGTATGGCATTCCTAATATCCTTAATAGTTATGCGAAATTGCTTTTGCTCTCAGGAACAGAGTTAAACCTGAGCGGCCGAATGTTTATTGCCGAATGTTTTATGCTGCTTTAATTGGTGGAGTTTTTAAGGAGTTCTTTTGCAATTAAATTATATTAGCGCAATGGGTTACTGGCCTTAGTAATCTTAGAAAACTGCAAATAGTTGTATTAAAGCTTTTGATTCCTAAAACATAGTTACTTTGAGGGAGTAGCTTACTAAAAATTGAAATTCCAAAGTAGCTAAATACCCTACTGTCTAACTTGTATTTCTGTGCAGTGGAGGTTAGGAGAGGGAGTTCCAGACATGGAAATAATATGAGTCAGGTTACAAAATGAGGAGGTTTTTATTAAAAAATAAATAAATAAAATTGGAATTTACATTGGAATCAACTTTTAACCTGTAGAGTTTGTTTTTAAAGTTTCCTCTGGTGCCCAGAGGAATAGAGACGCATCTCTTCAGCTTTTGGAACAAAAGCCTGCATTCTCATGGAACAGTGTGCCCTGAGGAGGATGGTGTATTAGGAAAAGCAACTAGCATAATTTCAAGCAAGTAAAAACCTTGGTTATAAGTGATAATACTGATACTGCAGTAGGGAAAAGCAAATAATTTTATAGAATTTGGTATAATTTCATTCCAAAACACATGATACAGGTTTAAGATGTAGTTATAAAAATGTTTTCTTTTTCTTTCTGCAGTTCTGTTCTCTTAGTGTAGCTCTCTGATTAAGAGTTTTTGCAGTTAGTTGAAGAGTTGGCCTGTGTAACAGTTTCACTTTTTTCCTTTGTTTGTTTGCATAGCTTGTTTTATAAGCATGTCAAAGAGGACAAATGGTGAAATAGCAGGTAGTCTACCAGTCAGTCTGTTAAAGTGCCTTGCCTAGCTAGCAGGAAATTAGCTTGTGTACTTTAGGGGAGAATGAAGTTGAAGTTAAACTTGAAAGTGTGTTTTGTTCTGGTAATCAATTTTCCATAACAATGTCTGTAGTGTTTTTGAGACATCAACTTAAGCATTCAAAAACCTTGTACAAGATAACTGGAATGTAATGCAGTGTCTGTTTTCATGATTTGAATGGCAAAGCAGTGTGCGGAGGTGCAATACCTGGATGGATAATGAACCAGTCCAGTGTCTGTACTGTAAGCAGTGCCGCACCGTGGTTTAGGCAAGATCAGGCGAAAGGGTCCTCACTGTTGCTCACACAGGATGTTCTGCAGGAGATTATATAACTAATGGAACATCTGATTAAGTGTGAGGAGAGGATTGTTCTTCCTGAATCTTAATACCCACTTGTAGTAATTACTTTAAAGTGTTGCTCAGTATACTAATTTGCTAGTAGATTAAGTTAGTAGCTGTTACTTGTAAGTTTTTACAAAGCAGCTAGAAATGGTTTAGTTGTTTTTGTTTTTAAAAGTTTATACAGTAAAATTATAGAAGTAAACTGAATTAGAACGGTATTTTTTTTTGTCTTTAAAGCTTGCTCATGTTAAGGCAAGTTAAAGGAATATTGGTGGTGAGCTGCTGTTGCAAAGCAGTTATTCATAGTCTCTTGTGCCCGCAACATGTTTTTCGTGCTCAGATCGTAGCAGTCAATTTCAGTGCCATCATTGGGGTGCGATCACACCTGTGGTGGGTTTATAAACATGTCATGAGCACAGCTGGACCGGGTCAGATGTCACCTCTGGCTGACGGTGTCCTCCAGCAGGCACACAGGAAGAAGAACGAACAGGACAAGCAGCACTCCCAGCTGCTTGTTCTGTCCTCCCCGCTGCCTTCAATGTGTGGCATGGGGACTTTCCTCTTAGAGTAACGTAATGGGGAGATCCAAGTGAGGAGTTACAGAGCATCATAGAGACAGTGTTATCATATTTCATTCCTTTTGCTGGATTTTTCTTACATGAATTTATCCAATTGCTTTCTGTGGCCATGTAAACTTCTATCACCCACAGCTTCATCTGGTAAGGAGTTCAGCAGTTTAATTATATGATGTTACAAATTACCTTTGTTTGTTGTTCTGAACTTACCACCATCTAGTGTCTTTGGATAAATCCTAGTTCTTGCATGACACAGCAAATGTCAGGCTGTATTCCCCCATTCCATGTGATTCATGATTTTCAGACTTGTGTCGTATGTCCGCTCCGTTTTGCTTTCCTCTAGCTTAGTTGTCTTAGTTGGTCCTAAGAAGGAAGCTTTCCATATCTTTAATCATCCTTTTCATTACCTCTGAACATTTTCCAGTTATGCCGTCTTCTTGTTGAGGTAAAATTACATACCGTGTTCAAGATTTTCGCCACTGGATATATTTGGTTTTTATCTAATAATGCCAATCTTTACCACCAGGCTTTACCACCTGATTTTTGGTTTTGGTTTGCTTTTCTTGTATACATGTTGCCCTTAGATAGGCAAGTGACTGTAGAAATTTAATTGTGGGAGGTTTTTACGACTGTATCATGGAAAGTTTTAATCTTTTAGATGTGTCTGATTGTCTTGCAAGTTAGCTCCCAGCTCTTTTTCTATTTTTTTTTCCTGCTTTCTGCAAATCCTTAGTACATTAAGTCATGTGTTCCAGAGCAGCTGCAACACATCTTGTGATAGGAGAAGGAAAGTACACTTTTTG